CCGTCTTCTTTCCAGATTATAATCTTATCTTATTTGATGGATCCTATTTACATTTCACTTTTTTTATATTTTTATAAAACTTACTCGTTGGAGCATTAAATGCATGGATTACGTCTATGCGAGCCTTTCAGGCCTAGATGGTATTTAACTAATCTTTTGTCCTAACATCCTCTTGGCATTCTAGTTTGAACTTGACAATTTTGCTTTACTTCATAAACCTACTGGAAGTTGATTTAGATTAGTGGGATTCGGCCTTCATACCCGAAGACCGTGTGAAAGTTCGGAGTTAGTTTTTACTTGTTCGATGATAACAGTGTAATTGAGACGACACCTGAGTGCCATGATATGACAAGTTGCGAAACTGGGCGCAAAACAACACAATAACGTGATGGTTTACAGTTCGGTCTTATATCTATAATGTTTATTCTGTAGTTTTTAATAGTTGAACTCCATTTTCAGAAGATTTTTCCCTTCTTTTTCTGAAAATAGATTGATTTAGATTATAACGACTGCTTGCATGTATCTGTTAAACACTACGAATTATTATATAGAGCTGGTTTGCATTTCGCATTCTTTTGTTATATGCACTTATGAGGCCTTATTGTCATCCATTTGAATTTAAGCTACTTGTATTTGAGACAATGGTTATTCTCAGAGTTGTGAATAGCAATCATAATAATCAGTTATTTTTACATATCTATTGCTAGCAAATGGAGACGATGCCTAAATATATTATTTAATGTTTTTTTTATTTTGTCATAAGGTACAAGGACTTTCGGTCACCACCTTGGGAAAGTGAAAAATACGAATACACGCGCATATATTGGCACGTCATCGCCGCTAAATTTATTTTCGTTTTAGTCTTTGAGGTAGGTATTTGGGTTCATCCATATTGTTTAACTAACATAAATCGCTTCAATTAATAGATATAAATAATTAATCTACTTGCTGTCGAATGCTTGCAATTCCATTTTGGGTTCACTAACTTCAATAACACAAAGACGCTAAAAAAGTTATTTCTTTGCTTCAAGATTAAAATGATATTCGCAACTATTTCTCCAAACGACTCAAGGCTTCACCAATATCCCTAGTATCTACTTTGCAACTTATTCAGCACAGGTTTATTATTACTTTGTACCCTGAGCTTGCTCAATTCTTAATTTAACTTTTCTTTATGTTGTGCACGTGTATTTCGTCCAATCACCAGCCACTCTGAAAGCAAAATTCGTTGGCTTGTCAATACTGTCTCAGATAATCACTAGATGACATAGCAAACATTCAAATACCATTAATTTTCTAGTTTGTCACTTAAACACCTAGTCTTTTTTGTGGTATTTACTCCGATACTTTGCGCAGCACAATATCACCATACAGAACAGCACAGTTTCATGAAACTAGAGTCTATTCTTAAAGGATCAATACATTTTGTGTTTCAATTTCTTAAAACTAGATTTATATGGTAAACTATACCCAAGGAAATCTCAATCTTGCTATTATGATGGCTGATCGAATATTTAAAAAATGCAATTTCACCATATCAAGGATACTATTATTCACATCTAAAGTGGGATTACGTTGTGGCATTGTCCTCAAATATTTTAGAGACTCTTCATTGCTCCTTTGTCTAGGTTGTGGGATCCTTCGTGAAAATCAGTTTAAAAATGTTTTTTAATTACTGTTTTTTATATTTTCTAATGAGACACTTATTTCAATGGTTTATAGCAAGCATAAAACCTTGCCCAACTATCCAACGCGGAGACTGCCCATCATTTAAGCATTCGATCTTTGCTCTATTTTCCACACCTACAGAGCGCCACTCTTTTGCTGACCACGATCGTAGCTGCTCTCGTGCCTGATATGCCACGTCGCGTTGACATTCTGATGCGTCGTGAAGCTCTTCTTGTAAATGAGGTGATCCTTCGTGCTGAGCTTAAGAAGGAAAAAAGGGCACGTCGCTTTGGCGAATTGAATCGCCTTGGTTCCGGGGAGGATACAATCGACACTGGACTTCGTCGTCGCAACATAATGCGCCAGCAGAATACTTTTGGCCTCTCAATGGACGACGCGCCGATCGGCAACGAGCCAGAGCCAAGTATCGGATTTACGTCTTACGAGCACAACACTGGGCCTCAGGTAGACTAGACTTATAACCATATTGCTGTTCTACATCCAAAGACACACTCGCAATCATTTATGCCTATCTTATCTGCGTATGTCATTAATGCTTACCTGATAGGATTCATTGCACTGCATTTTTATAAAGTCACTTAATAGTAAGTTTGATGAAAAATGGTGAGACGAAATGGTTTACTCTTTGTTCCCTTCTCTAGCATGTCCTCTCGTACAGAGGCTAGATTTGCCAAACATTTTGATAATTCATTTACTCTTCATTTCTGCTTTAGTTCACAAAGTTCATTTATTTCCATCTTTTTTATTTGGCATCTTGGACATTTTTTTAGGCGACTGCTTTCCATCTCTTCTAAGAGATTACTCATTATTCTTAGTTGAATGGGCAACTGTCAAAAAAAGGTTCATTTTGAGTTGCTCTCTTTACTCAATTTACTAGATTTGTTAGCCTAGGCTAGGAAAGTAAAATCATATAACTTGAATTTATATGGCATCCTTCCATGTTTAATCTGTTTTGCTATCTTGTGAGGCTTCTCTTTGTTTAGTAGGCATCTCAACCTATCGTATTTTGAATTCAGCATGCTCCTCGACCTTGGCGGTTCATTGATGTCAGTTGACCCTCTTCCACGAATTAAGTGATTTATCAAGTGTTGCGTTTTAAAGATTACTCTTGCTAGAACCTTCATCCTATGCAAAAATTGTGTCTAAAGATAGGCCAAATTGCACATTTGGTTGTAGTTTCAGAAATTTTTTATTTCGCTTTCTCTAATCTCTCTTATTTTTGAATTGTCTCTAACGCAACAGCCTATCTTCCTACATTACGCATAGGCTATTTGCTCTTATGTATG